AACTGTTGTAGTTTGCTTGTTTATGAACATATTTTGATCAAATTTGGAAAATGTTTTTATTTCTTACTAACTATTAACATTTAAAAAAAAATAAGTTTTACCCTCCCTGATGCAGCAAACCTAAGTACTTGTTAAACTAATTCTATTTAAATCAGGAATAAATGTTATACTTTTAAGTAGACATTTAAGTGTAAATCAAATCAGTCAAATGGAAATTCGCTTAGTCTGCAGGTTTGCTGCGGCGGGGGTATTAACATATTTTTTAGAAGATTTTGCGTACTAAAACCATTGTTGGTCATATCTTTTCCAACATCTGACCACAGCAATTTTTTGCTTAGCTTCACTGCTCCAGGAGAGGGCTTGGCCTCCTTACTCCTACTTTTTTTTTTTACTTTTTTTTTCCTTTGGCGCTTACAGATTGGTTATGGTTCTTGCTTGACAACCACAAGGTTACCGATTCAATCCTGAGAATATACAGTAGTTTTTGATGATTTTGAACCGAACCAGCTGTCTTTGTTCTTTAGGCTTTTTAATAAACAGTAGCTCTAAAAAGGTAATAAGCAACACAGTTCGTCTCGCTTTATTTTACCCTCATCCTTCACTTATTTGTTAAATTATGCCCAGTTGGGTTCTAATCTCAATTGGTAATGAGATGGTTTGCAGAGTGACTTTTTGAAATGTAGCTTTTACTTATTATTCTCAATAATAATTGGATAATTATTGTTTGATCAGAAAGGCAATGGGTATGGAAAGAGAAAGCATATAAGAATTGACGGTAAATATTACATAAATTGTCAATTGATTATTCCGTTTTAAAACTGTTATCTTAATAGTAATCTACCTAGGCTAGAACTAAACATTTAAATTTTATTTTATAAAAGTTAAAAGTTTCTATTTATATTACTCAAGATAGACGATTTAATTCTTTTCTTGAAACAACAAATTGCATCCATCACAATTAAGTAAAAAGCAATGAGAAGAAACTTTGGATTAATTTAAAGTAACGAAGTACGAAAGTTGAGACCTTCTTTATAATTTGAAGAGACAAAAGCTTTCTTTAGTACAGATTTTATCCTTTGTTTTTATTGTTGTGTATCTCTTAGTTTTCCAGTAATTTTTATGCATCTAGTATTGTCTACTCTTTGCCTTTTGGTTAGTTACTGACAATTATACAGTAAAAAAAAATTATATGTATATAAAAATGTACATGCTGTAAATATGTGATTAAATTGAATTGGTGAATAACATATTCTAAACTAATATCCTAGGCTATAAACATTTATTTGGCTTTCCGATTAAAATTATTAGCTTCCAAAAGCAAAAATTTCAACCACATTTTTTCAAAGTATGCAATATTTTCTTTTTATATCAGGACCAAGATTTGTATCCATTCAAATTATAATTAATTTTGAGTGCCGTAATTTATAAAAATAGTATCTCATAACTGTGTAGTACTTAACTTTGACAATGATGATAAAATGAATAGCAACCACGGTGAAAAGTAATTTTTTTATGAGGAGCAACATTTTTTAATGAAAACTTTTTTTACTTAAAGAGAATGTAGTGTATGGAATGTAAGGCTTAATAGCATTCTTTCTGTTAAAATTCTTGCACATTCTTGCTGAAAGCATACAGAATGACCTCATAAAATGTGAATACTGTTCATTACCGTCAAGATAACTTGAGAAGGCTTGGATTCATTTGATAAGATTTATTACTCACAATATATATACAGGGTGTTTCAGAATTCGTGTCGGATATTTTAGGGTATTGTTCCTGGGTAAGAAACAAATCCAAATATCATATTTAAATTGACCGGAAGTCCTTAGCTACTCACGCTACTCACACAGCCGCCATTTTGTTTTTTTCGCTTATTAATTGTTTTCTGAAAAATGGTAAGAGATACGAAATTTAAACTTTGCAAAAAACATTTATGACAACTAGACAAAGCTACAAAAAAATTATGAACATTCTTAAAATTCATAAAACAAAATGGCGGCCATTTAAAATTTTGTTTCTTAAATTACTCAAAAACCGTTGAGTTTACAAAAAATTTACATGAATAACTTTTTTAAGATAATCTAAATACAAATCGATTGAAACCTTAATCTTTAAATTAACTGAGATATGGCAGCTTTAGTAATATGTGACCGCTGGAAGTTAGATGTAGTGCATTTAAAAAATTAGGGCGTTTAGTGTGAATTTTAAAAACAGTAAATAGGTGTGCAATTTTTAAGCCATCCTAATGATTGATAATTGAAAAAAAGACACTTTTGGGGTTATGTAATATTTTATTATTGTTTGAAATGATCTAAAATTGTTTAAAAATAACTTGCAAAGCGGTCGCAGACAGTTGCATTGTTGTGGCAGACATAGGCCCAGCGCACACGGTGTGACTGTTTTGAGAGCAACCGTTGCAAACCCGTTGCGACTGCAACCAGTTTGCAACTGAAAAAGAGCTTCTGTCCGCACACGGTGCAACTGTGTTACAACTACAGTTGCGTATATTCTGCAATCAGTGGAGTGTTATATTGTAAGTGCAGTGACGTTGTTTTTAAGGCCTTCCTTGTTTTTAAGTGTTTTTAAGTACAATAACAATGTCAGACTCAGACGAAGAAGACGTCATTACCTGGCAAACCCAATTCAACAGACACATCTTGCCATGCTTTATCAGTCAAATCTTTCCTTGAATATCATGGCAGTTTGTAGTTGTACAGAACTTCATGTTTCTCCACTTCTCCAACGAGCTTCAAGTTGAATTCTTGATCATTCATTTTGAGATGAACACTATACGGCCGTCAAAATAACAACAAATTTCCACCAAACACCACAAAAACACCCCGTGGTTTCGTGCAACTGGTTGCTGCAACGTCGGGCCCACCGTTGCATGTGACTGGTTTCAAACTTTTCTGAAAATCGCAAACGACCAGTTGCGTCGTGTGCGGCTCCCCACTGCAATACATTGCCGTTGTTGCAAAACAGTTGCAAGCGCAACTGGTTTGCAACGACAGTTGTAAAACAGTCACACCGTGTGCGCTCGGCCTTAGGCCGCATGCCTCGGTATGCACTACATCTAACCTCCAGCGGTCACGTATTACTAAAGCTGCCATATCTAACAGTTAACATTCATCTAATCTTAAAGATTAAGGTTTCAATCGATTTGTAATTAAATTGTCTTAAAAAAGTTTTTGTAAACTCAATGGTTTTTGAGTAATTTAAGAAACAAAATTTTAAATGGCCGCCATTTATGAATTTTAAAAATTTTCATAATTTTTTTGTAGCTTTGTCTAGTTATCATAAATGTTTTTGCAAAGTTTCAATTTTGTATCTCTTACCATTTTTTAGAAAACAATTAATAAGCGAAAAAACAAAATGGCGGCTGTGTGAGTAACTAAGGACTTCCGGTCAATTTAAATATGATATTTGGATTTGTTTCTTACCCAGGAACACGCTATTCATTTGACGCTATTCATTGTATAAAAACTTGTACTGTGAATGAATAAAGAGAATTTGAATTGAATTGAATTGAACGATACCCTAAAATATCCGACACAAATTCTGAAACACCCTGTATATGCTGAAATAAACTGTTTTACATTTATTTTATTTTGTTCTACTCTTGCGTTTCAACTCCAGACACTAAGAAGTGACAATAGTTGAGAGCATTTTGATCCGAGGCAGTCATTTCCTAATGCGTGGGGGTGCAGATAGGAAGGGGGGGATGCAAGGTTATTTGACAAAGTGCAAGCACTGCTAAATGTTTCTTCGTGTTTAGTTTTATTTTTTTATAATCTCAGCTTTTTTACCAAGTGTAATACAAAGACTGTGTGTATTGCATTTATTTGGATATTTTTTAATATTTTTTGTACAGAATATTTTTACGTATTTTATTTTCTGTTTGGACAGCTAGCAAATTTCTGAAATTATTTTTAATTTTTGTTTAAGAAACAGACAAATCCTTGATTTTAATACTACTTCGTGTTAGTTTGATACTGTATAATGTATATAATTAATTGATTAAATTTACATACAAACCTGATTTATGCTATGAATAAATTATAAATAGATTTTTAAACACAAACATATCACTATCATAGCCAAAAACAAACCTTGTAATTGATCCATTTTAGGTACTGTATAAAAAAAACACAAGATCTCTAATGCAATATCAGTTTATTTTTATATTTTTCTTTGCATATCCATTTTTTTCTGGTTTATTTTTGTTCTTAATACAATTTACAACAGTGCAGTCCTTGTGTACCAAATGTAAATATTTTTGTTACTTTTAGGATGGTAAAAAATAGTTTTTGAAAAATTATATGGTTTCAATGTTTACTATTAATAAGATCCATTTGAGTTTAATTAATGCAGGATAAGTGACAGAGAGATGGATGACCTATGCTTTGTTAATGACTGATCAGCTGTTCCTTCAGCTATTACTATTTCTTTAAAGCCAAATGAAAAAGGACTGTGAGTGAGCTTGGTCCAGCTTAGAACTATAGACCTCAGGATCAAACCTTCATCCTTTTATTGTCAGACGAGTATAATCACTCGGCTATCCAGCTAAATTTGGAATATACCACAGAGAAGTAAGGTAGGAACATGCAATGGTACACTTGAGTGGTGTCTAGCACTAGCCGCTAGACACCACTAGCCACACCACGCACTAGTTGCTAGTGTCTAGCAAAAAGCCCAACACTGTCCTCTAACCCCATGTACTACAATGCTCACGGTGGAGGAAAACCATGTCTCCTGTGCGATAGGAATTTCCGCACAGTGCTCTACTCTTGGCTTGGACACTCCTTGCTTGTCGTAAGTATATTTCTGACACAATAAATTAGTGATCAAAAACACCATTGTCTCATAAGCAGGTTTCCTCTATACTGTACCTTACTTCTCTGTTGTTAAGCATATCTAAAATGATGACCATGTAGCCTACAATATAATTTCCAAAATCAAACTTTTTTTATCACAAAAGTAAAACTCAAATTTGTTTGCAGGTCGAGCCAAATGACACCTTGGCATCAGTTGCGGCCCATTTTGACATCACGCCCTCCGAGTTGGCCATCCTGAACCGGTTGCCGTCCCGGACTGTGTTCCCAGGACAAGTCATCCGGGTTCCGGACAAGCGGCGACGCGACCAGGACTCCGAGGATAAGGAGAACAAACAGGACAACCCGGAGTCGGACAAGGGCGATGACAAAGAGAAAGATGACAAGAGTGAAGTGTGCGATGAGGAAATGGGTGAGTTGAAATTATCTTTTTTAATTATTTTGTAACAACACTTTGTTAAAAGTCCTTGTGAAAGTTTTGTAAACATGAATGCACTATAGTGAAACAACGTAATTGTTGCACTAGCACTAGAACATTTAAGTCAGACTATAGTGGTTCCCACATGATGTCTGAACCAAACTACACCGCTAACAGTTTAGTGTTAGGTAAAAGTCATACTTATACATCCTGTTTATCAGATTTGGATCCCCCATGGTAAGTGCATCTAACCTGGAAATGAAAATTTTATTGTTACTTAAAATTGAGCACAATTTATAAATCTCAGTTGATAGTGCAATGGGCTATGAGCTCATGGTAGTAATGTTGTGGGTTCATACCCTAATTGTCACCACTTTATCAGTAGGTTCATCCCTTTACCGTACCAGCTGCTTGTTATGTTCCACAAAGTGGCCAGGGGCCCAGGTAGTTGGGCGAATTGTGGATATTCATAGGCATGCACTGTGGATGCGATACTCCCTGGTGTGGATTAACGTCCGCACGGGTGAGTACTACGACTATCCGCAGTGCTATCCTGATAATTAGACCAATTCGTATATACCAAGGGAAAAACAGTGGTTCGGATTCCACTATAAACTGTAGGTCCCTTAGTCGCCATTAGCTGTATGGGCTATTAATTAACAGCTGTGTCTAAGGAATATGTCGGCCTTAGTCACTAACAAGACTACAAGATCGCGCCACTCATCATACACTCATCTCCATCCATACTTGGCTTTAAATACCTACTTTGTATGGTCGCCATTACAAAGAAAAGTATTAAGTATTAAATGATTAATTGATACCACTAACCACTTCAGCTTTCCCCCCTACACATACTATATGCAGAAAGTATTATTTAAAAATTTGTTGGTCCCCCTGAACCCAAAAAGTGTTTTTGAAGCCTGTGAATGTTTGTAATGTAGGTACAGAGAAACAGTTTACACCTGTTGTCCGAGTTATATGACATTTGGTATGTGAGTACCAATATGGTATCTCCAGGCGTTTTTGTTTACTTTTTTTAAGTGATTTTTTTATGTTGGTTTTTCCATAAAATGACAGAAAAAATTTAATTTGTACAAAAACGGCTCCAAAGATTTTTAAAAAAAATTTGTATATTATGGTTTTTTTAACTCTGAACAGATCTGAACAAACAACCAGTACAAAAAAACATTCAGATATAAAAAGCTATTGCACATGCGATTTTCCCCATAGAATATAAATATCAGTTTGCTAATACTTTTTATTTTACAAAATCATTATCTTTGTCATAGTTATATTGTTCATTCTGATTATCCTTCCCCTTATATGCCTTAAACTCACCATTGTCTTGCTGTTACAGAATTATCACTGTATATTGAATAGTTGTGGATTTTGTTAATCTATATATTTATTTCAAATCCAATTTATGCCGTTTGTCGGTTGTTGTCTGTCCTATGTTTGTTTGTCCTTTATGTGTTACTAAACTGGCCATCCGATCTTGATGAATTTTTGGGAAGTTATTCTATACACCCCCAAAAAGGTTTCTATACCATTCCCCTCCTTAAACTCCCTTGGAGCTCTGCCCCAGTAGCTCTGAAGTATCCCATGTTTACATTATGGGTATTCATTTACAAAAAAATCTAAAAATATTTACAGCTGTTTCAAATAAACCAACAATTTGGATTCTATCAATGAATACATGGTTGTATGATGTTCCATGGGAAAAGATACATGCTTTAATAATAGAGTGCAGCACTATTCCCCGTTTCAAAGCACGAGTACATCAGCTATTAATACATAATAATTCTTACAAAACATTTGAACGATTTTAGAAGTTCCAGTTGCAATAGTAGATACCATTAGTTATAATAACTTACCAGTGCAATAGCATAATAACTCAGTATAACTCACCAAAGACTCAACAAAAAGACAGAGCCACGATGTACAAGAGAACTGATTACATTCTGTTCTAGATAGTACTGAAAACCATCACTTCATTTTAATAATGAAGGTAGTTTGACAACAAACTGTAAAAGTATTCTCTTAATAAATCAGATTTATATTTCAACCTAGTTTGCTCCAAATATAAAAATAGGTTAATTGGCTTTGCGGTAAAAAGCAATTAGTCTCTTTTGTAATTAGTGAAGTAATCGCTTTTTCTAAAGTTTATTACTTGGTGCTTGTTGATAAGATACCAGCAAAACTTGTAATTATATTTGTAGGGTATTTACCTCTGTTATAGGGAATAAGCTATTTAGTCGTTGCATTTTAGTAAACTGCTTTGAAATCAGCCTAATGAAATGTAAAATATTTTATTTTATTTTTATTATTCGCTATTGCTTAGAATAATTTTTAAAATCGATAATCAATAACTTAATTATTGTATCAAACTATGAGCTTTCATTTTTATTATATGGTACAGTATATTTATATCAACAGTATTGTTATATATGCCCTTTCTATTGAGCTTATACAGCCAAGTCCTGCTCAGTGAGGGTTGGACAGGATTTGTGGTAATGTCAGTAGAAAGAAATTTAACTTTGAAATACACTCTAAACCCAACAATTTATTAGTTGTACCTCGTAACAAAAATTTTAAAAATAACCCAACCGCCACAAACCTGCAGACTAAGCGAATTTTAATCTGTCCGGTTGGATTTTTACTAAAAATATTTCAATAGATAATTTATATATTCCCAATGTAAATTATGTTTAAAAAGACTTAGGTTTGCTGCAACGGAGAGAAAAAAAGTGTTTTTGAGATCCAATGTCAATAGGATAGGATAAAATAAATAAAATTGATTAAAATATCTTATTAGGAATAGGTTTATACACCATCAATTTTGTGATAACTTTTAGGGCTTAGCCCTGGGACAACAATAAAAATTTAATTAAAATATATCCATATACGAGCTAACTAGATGAGTTTAGTTTTTCTCCACAAGAATAACATAGACATTTTAAATCTATAGTTTCTTTGAAATTTTCTCTGTAACTTTTAATCGTACAACAATGCTTCAATATACAATTTTTTGCTTTACTCAATTGCTGTAGTAAAAATTGGGGGCATTTCCTCCATAAGGGTAAAAATGTTAAAAAATATTTTAAAAGTTTGAAAACCTCATTAACACATTGTTCATATTACCCGAACCTGCTGGTTTGCAAAACCAATCAATTTTATCCAGCTCTACATATTAATGCCGAATTTCATTCAAAATCAGGCCAAAATTACTCTTTGTGGTCACGGACACCGTGTATAAATTTGAACGTAAGTGCTTTATACTCTTAGGACATCAAAATGAAATAGTAAATCTTTCCCAGGTCTAGGTCTCTCCATTCCTTCTACGGTTATAGCTTCCCTAGGGAAATTCACCTATTAATAACCACCCTAGTTGTTTCTGTTGCAATGCGCAAAAGTTGCATACATTTTGTATCCATTAAGCTGTACTTGTACCTTGTGAGTATCATTTGTCTCCGTCAGGGTGGTTAACGTTACATTCTGACGTCCCCCCCTCCCCCCACTGACCCAGTTCACGACTATTGGCTGGACGTTATATATTGCCGGCTCTATACCATGAGTATTATGTTCAATGATAAGTTATAGTGCGAAATGAACTATCATTCTGGGAAGATAATTTTGTGAGGATTATACTCCGTTCATAAAATTCAGGTGGTAGTATATCTCCTTCACTTGATACTATATTTCAAACAATAGCTCAACAGCTGAGTTTTGTTGAAACTTCAATCAGCTGCAATATATGTATTAAATAAATAAGTAGTGGGGGAACTTCTCCTAAAGCCAGCTAAATTTTGTGAACAATTGGTGAAATTCCATAAAGAGGTATAAGGGAATCATGTTAGTGTTTTCAATTGGGTTATGTTAAATTTTCTTATGGGTTTTTATGGAGTCCCCTTTTCAGGATTATTCATAATAAAACATATGTTTTCAAACACATTTAATCAGTTAATATGAAGTTAAACGCTCTTTGAAAATATATAGGCCTAATGATTAAATTGAATAAAAATATAAAGCTATGAAACACAAATAAAAGGTCGACATGTTTCAGTAAAAATTTGCAAGAACCCAAATACCTGTAAGGTTGGATGTCCACCCCCTCACCATTCCACCCAATGCAACATAAAATCTATGGGGGTGTAAGATCTGCGACTTTCTGCCTTTTGTCAAAGACCCAACTGAAGTGTGCCCCATTCCTAGATTATATCTTTGATGCTTTTACTATAGTTCACCTGTTTGACATTATGAACTAATGTGAGGAGATCAAGAAGGACATACAGTGAAAGAAAGCACAATTGTTTGAATTGGCTCAAGCTGCAAATTTATGGAAATACTCTTTAAATTGTTTCTTCACTATAACACTATTCGGTCTTAAGAAAAAAGATTATCTGTTTGTACTACATCGAATGTTTTAGGTTGATTTTCATTCAAAGTCAATTGATTAATGCCACAAACTAATAAAATATAACACCCAATGTTTAAAATTCTACTAGACTCCTTACAAATTAAATTATCATCCTGCAAATTAAAATTTGACTAAGTAGCCTTAATATTTCTTTATCGTCTAGCTAGGTTTGGTTATTCATGCAATAGAAAATCAGAGATGGGTTAAGATCACTATCATTAAATTAAGCATAGGTAATCCCTACTTTTTTCATTCTCGTAGTTGATTTAAAAAATGTATTGACCTCCAGCCTTGTGATACAGCAGTTAAAAGATTATAGTCTTAGTTAAAAGATTATGGTCCTAATCTACAATTTGCAGTGTTGGCACATTTTAAATCTCTAAAGCCACTTGAAAATATAATAAAAATGCTGGGTCAGTCTTTAGCCAATCAATGCTGCCAACCGCACGCACCTCTCAAGTTGAAGAGCCTCTTGATTCCACGTTTTGGCAACACTGCCTCATAAAACAAAACATCAAGTCGTATAGCCCAGGGACTCGTTAGTCTGCTTTAAACTGCGGCCTTGGTTACAAATCAA